AATTCAATCATATATTATCAAGAAGATACTCTGAAAAGGAATTATTTATCATTAAACAGGAGCATTCTGGATGGAGGGGAGGGCATATGAGCAGAGCAAGTAATAGAGTTAAATGGGTCCTTGACTGGACCATTCTGCCCCAGACATGAAGTCCTTCGAACAAATTGGAAACAATATATATATATTTCTAACTAAGGAAAATACAAGCTGGACACTATCATGTTGGCCCAGTGCATTATCGAAGAGAAGTAGATAGTCCAGGTTGCCTGAATTTAGTAAAATAGCTACATGACAAGCAATGTCACCCTCTGGACACAGACCTCTAGTTGGCTTCTAATATTTGCGACAATGGATGCACTAGTGTGCTGTCCTATGATTGTGCCCGTACAACCTGAGCTCTTGTGGTTCTCACCCTTCTTATTCACTTCTGAGGAGGATGGACAGAGGGAGTCTGATTAGACTGACAGATGCAGGGACTCTGGGTCCCGATTCATAGAACTTCCTCTCTCAATCTTATTTTCTCTTTTGTAATCATGACAACAGATCCTCCAAATACAGTACAAGGGAATATGGTACCGTTGAAACTGTTAGATGTCCCTTATGATGAGCTTGTGTTCTCTAAATATTAAATCATGTATTCTAGGACTAATAGAGGTTAAGAGTACAAAGATTTTTGTTGAGAGAACAGAGATCCTGTCAGGAACAGGATGGGTCCCAAATTCAATGTGTAGCCTGGTGACCCTACTTTAAAGAAGATTTTATAGAGCAATACCCACATACTTATGACATGTGTGAAAAATATGATTACCCAGTAAGGATGCAAGGGTAGTCATGTAGGTCACAGTGATCTAATGGGAAATCAAGACCTGTCACTAGGGTGCAGGGAAAGAACAAAGATGTTTCCTAGGAAATGATGGGTCTAGACTTCATCAGCAAAATGAATTATTGATGTTTACTTGGGATTCATTAAGCGTGGTGTTTGTCTGTTGAGTAAACAGGCCTGGTGATCTCAACTTTATCTGAGGCCTGGGATCCAAAAGATTCTAGACTCAACTCTGGCCACAGTTGAGATGTGTTTCATCTTGGTCATGGCACTCTCAGAAACCTAGCCCTAACCAACTGCCTACAATATCTCTGTGCAGTTTAGATGCCTAAAGAGTGACTGGACAGAAACTGGACACAGAATCTAGTATGTCTCACCCTGAAAAGTCAGTGCATTCAGATGTCTGTCCAATCTGTGTTCCAAGCATCTAATATTTCCCAGGATTAGTTCTATGTTTTCAAGACATAGTGGTTCAGACAGGTAGATTGCATTGTCTCAGAAATTTACAATGGCATGGGCTTTAGTCTTTGTATTATAAATCTCCAGATCTATCAAAAACAATACCTGCACCAATTCTATATTTTATCCTGTACCCTAAACTGGTGACCACTGTCAAATATGTATTTAATGCACTGCCAGGAACTGTCCTAATATTAAGAAGCATTTACAGTGTGTGACTATGTGTAGAAAATTTTAAAAGTACTCACAGATGAGACTTAGTTCTCCCAGTGAGAAGAACCAGAGAGGCTGATTCCAAAGTGTCAGAAAAACAGCAACAGACTGAGACCTCTGCAGATATTTTTTGTAACTAAGGAACATAATAACAAAGATAGAGATGAAAGGAACTTGCCAAATACTGTTCAGCAAGTTTGGTCAAGAGACAGGGCCAGGAAAGGGTGACCTATTACATGCTGTATGCCAACCAGTATTAAGTAAATGTGTGAGGCAGGAATATTTTTCTTTTCAGGAAGGAATCTTATGAGAGGGGAGGAAGGCTGCCATTACCAGAATGAACATCTTCTGAGAATAACCGATTGGTGATTCTGCTCACCGTTTTTCTACAGATCCGTTCTAATTCATTGCCATGCATTCCAGAAGCCGAGCAAGAATGGTATCCACAGTCTTTTCCTTAATTTTCATATCAAGTATCCCTCTGCACAGGGTTTCCTACAGAAGTAAGCTAAAGGTGAACTTCATTCTCTTAACTGTTTGTCACTGAATCTGGTGAATGCCAACTCAGTGGCTGCTCATACTGTCAACTGTCATACAAAGCTAATTAAACAAATAGCCCTGTGCCATTCTGAAGTCCATTTTGTTCAGAGAAAGAAAACATAGAATTTGTATCTTGTTTCTCCATACAGTCAGAATCACTTTGCCCAGGCCAAATATTGGGCCTCCAGGTGCAAAAAAAGGCACAAGCACACCTAAGTGTCTATAATGATATCTGTGAATGTCATTTATGCCCTCCATGTCCCTGTTCTGACACCAGGCTATGCTGATCTTTGACTAACCCCTAAAACCTCAGGGAAGTTGACCCTCTGAGTTTCTCTTTTTCATGTACATTCTCAGATACAGGATGACACTCTACTGAAAGGGCATGAGCCTCAGACCTACCACGGACTCACTTCTTCCAGGTCAACCTTAGGATAGCTTTTATATTTCCCTGCCTGATTCTTTGACTGGGACGATATTGGAACAATATCAGTTATTTCTTACCTAGATCTTAAAAATTAGAAACCAATTACATCGATAGAACTCTTAACATATAAATACATGCATCGTTCAATGACAATCAGAGAGCATGAGCCTTCCTTAAGGCAGGATTGGCCACAGCAACAAGAAGAAAGGCACCACCTGCAAATTTCACCCATAGGAAATTAATACAGGACCTACAGTGAGGCTTAGAAATATGCTTTTGGTTAAGGATGTTCAAAGTATACAGGTAAACCCAGGCACAAGGTAGAAGAAAACTCACACGGCAGGTAATGACACATCTGGTAACATAAGCCCTGAAAAGGAAAACTTGTATTTACCTGACTGGAAGACATGATAGACCATGAAAAACTATACTCTAAATCCCAAGCAACGTGGATAGCTCTTACTGTTTCAAGAACACTGAATTAACATCACACAAATCAGTCTGCTCAAATCAGGCTTCCCAGTGTCAAAGGTACTTGAGAAACTGAGATCTGAAGCCAGCAGGGGGCACTATTGCACCAACCTATAAAGGCAGAGCTGTGGCGCAGGCTGCATAGGAAATTACATTTCTGGCTGTCACACACTTAGGCAAGGAATGTTCCAATTGTACTGTGGCTTTCCTGCACCTGCACCTTCCAATGTAACAGCAAACCTTGGCTCTACTGCACACTCTTGCTTTCTATTTTTATTTCCCTCCCTGTGTAGTTGTCCACTCCTGAGGCCAGGCAGAGATAGATGGATAATGGTATCCCCCACTCCAGTTTCTTGGAAGAAACACGACCTAGAATGTTCCCTGAGAGTACAATAAGAAACATTTGGAGATGGGAGGGGCTCAACAACAGAAAGTTTCTTTTCTTTTCTTTTCTTTTTCTTTTTTCTTTTTTTTTTTTTTTTTTTGTATTTTTTCGGAAGGGTTTAAGGGTGTTCAGAGTCTCACTACCAGATCAGACTCATAGTAATCCGCCTGTATACAGAAACCCAAGACCTGGGATTACTGGTGTGCACCACCACACCCAGTCTCAATTGCCATCTCAGTGCGCCCCAGAGGTGGGACCGTCTCTGCAGGCCAAGGCGTGAAATCCCCGCCGCCTACACCTGCTAGCAGGTGCTTTCATCTGCTGAGCTATTTGGCCAGCCTCAGAAAGTTTCTTATTCCAAAACCCTGGACACCTTTTCACCACCAGCATGATGGCTCTTCACTTCCTCATCCTCTCCTTAGATGATGAGTTATCTAGGGAACAGAAAGAGGATCCTGGGGCACGCCTGCCACAAGCAAGCAGATGGTTAAGCAGTGGATTATTCTGCTATCTCTACCACCTTCTGAATCTCCTGCAGTAATCCTGGATCACATGGTACTGAGTGTCACTTGCAGAGTGCTGATCAGTAATGAATCTTCTCGAGACAAGTATCCAAAATGCAACCCCAACCCCATTTACTTGCTGCAATGTGTCAGCACTACAATTAACCTTGTATATTTTAGTTTTAAAAGCTACACCTTTATGATCCTGTTTTTCCTTAAATGAAAAAATACAACAACAGCAAGTTATTGGTTTGCCAGCACCGGTCTAGATATTTGTAAAAAAATTACATATTTTTGTTTTCCAACAGTTATATCATACAATTCAATAGGAATCTCAGTATACCAAAAATAATAATAACACATTTGAGTATTAGATGAGAAAGTAATGAATATAAAAGACAAAAATGTCAAAATACTACCAAGTAGCACCTGTAATACACTCATACAATTCTCCGGGACCACAAAAGATGGTAGAGTTAGACTGTTCATTTTATCTGGAGGATGATGAATGGGAAGTTTGGAAAGAATAGCACTGACAGGACAGGAGCTACACAGCAGGTGTACAGTTAAGGCAAACAGCTTCTGAGAACTCAGTGCTATGTATCTGCTAAGTTATGGAAGGAAATCAGTGCGAGTAAAAGGATTTCTAGTGTATACTGGGAGCAGGCAGCAGCAGCCTAGTTCTTCAAGAATTTCAAAAGAGGATTCTGATTGTATTAAAAGGCATCTGTCCCACAGCTGCTAAGGGAGCTCTTCTTGTTTCTTTTGCTGTGTGACAGGCTCCTGGTGTCCTGGGCTCCAGTTTGTCCAAGCGCACACTCACCATTGACTCTTAATTTCTGTCCCTGAGAGGCTGTAGTCACTAAGTCACAGTTTGGTGTATTATGGGCAGGACACTGTGGCGCTGACAGCCTATGAATGAGTGCTCTAAGTGTGGTCAGATTGGCAAGCACCATGCGCACACATATCTTTAGCTGACTTCTTACAGTTTGAATGCTCCATCCCCAAAGCCAATCCAGCCCCAGCTTGACCCAGCCAATGAGCTCTTTCTGGCCTAGGGGACTGTGCCGGAACCCAAGGTGAGCTCAGAAGCCTGGCAGGAACTCCATTTGCATGGGTGGAGCCTCCTCCTCTCACATATGAAGAGGGCAAGCCTGGGACTTGAGGGAAGGTCTTTACAGTGGGCTCAGAAGGCAGGACCCACAGATGACCTCCGCCATGATCTGGTCCCCGCTCCTCTTCAGCCTCCTGGCTCACTGCACAGGTGATGAGATAGCAGGCAGAGAGAGGGCTTAGGACATGGGGTTGGGGGTACCTGCCTTCATTTTTGGTCTTAGAACTAAATCCACATCTCTGTGTCTCCCATTTGCAGGGTCCTGGGCGCAGGCCGTGCTGACTCAGCCTCCCTCAGTGTCTGGGTCTCCAGGAGAGACAGTCAGCCTCTCCTGCTCTGGAAACAGCAACAATCTTGGGAGATATTCTGCCAGCTGGTACCAGCAGCTCTCAGGAACAGCTCCCAAACTCATCATCTATAGGAATAGCAATCGACCCTCTGGGATCTCTGATCGGTTCTCTGGCTCCAAGTCTGGCAACTCAGCCTCCCTGACCATCAGTGGGCTCCAATCTGAGGACGAGGCTGACTATTACTGTCTCTCTTATGATGACAGCCTCAGTGCTGGCACAGTGCTCCAGCCTCATGGGGAAGCTAAGACAAAAACTTCCTCTTCTGCCAGAAGTATGCATAACCATGGTTCAATTACTCTTCTCTCATTGCTGGGACAAATACCCAACACTCAAAATGAGGGAAGAATTGTATATTTAGCTCACAGTTTGTTGATTTCAGCCCTAACAAAGCTAGCTCCAGGGAACATGGCACATGGCGGATGGCAGCAGTGCATGGTGGTGGAATACAGCAAATCAGCAAGAGCGAATGGCAGCAACAGCAGCAACAATGGCTTCAGAGAGCACGTCTGTCTCCTTAACTTAAATTGAGGCTGTCCGCCCTAGCAGTAGGTATACTCATAATCCCAGCAGCACTCACACACCCATAACCCCAATGGATCATGAGTTAAACACACCTCTAGAAGTCTGCCTCATAACTGCATGAGGCTGTGGGGGGACAAATGCATACAAACATAACAACCCAGGACCTGTGGCTCACGCCTGCAGTTTCCTTTTATGCTGCCACTGTATTCTCAGGTGTATCCAAAGACAACACTTGGACTGCGCTTCCTCCTCACCTGTGCCCACTGAGTCATTCAATGGTAGGATTTTCCTTGAAAAAGCCCTCTAGAAGTTTGCTGAATTCTTCCCCTCTTTAGGATAAACAAAAAAATTGAATAGAATCCAGTGATTTCTATGCCTCAAACCTCACGGGGACGTTCATCACACCAACTCTGCTCATCTCATACTTGACCTCTGACAGTGAATCCTGTGTCTCGTCACCAGCCTTTTTTTCTATTTTCAAGAGTTATAGAGCTGTCATCTTCTCCTTGGATGACATACCAAAACATCATGTCACAGACTATTTTCATATACCTTTTCTTATTTTGAGTATTGGATATACATAAAAATTAATCTCAATTGCAATAAAAACTTCAATGAGTTTTGGGATGGTATTGTCCTTTGAGTACATCAGATCAGGCAATCCAATACCCAAACCACCAGATTCCTTGTGTTCTTCACAGTATTCCATCTGCTCTCTCAAGATCATCAGAGGAAACAACTAACCCTCTCTCTGTGAATATTAATGTGTTTTCATTCCCGAAGGTTCTGAAGAGTATCACATGCTGTATATTTCCTCTTGCATGGCTTCCTTCAATCTACAAATCCCACTCCAATTCATCCAGGTTGTGGAATTGATCCTACAGAGGATACATGCTGTTCTTTGCCATCTCTGACCACTTCTGGCCACAGGGAATATTCTCCCAACTACATGAGGACTAAAATTATATATTATAACTCCATAAATAAAAGGATATAGTTAAGCCTAGATTATATTCATGTTACATATTTTGTTCAATATTTATACTTCCTGCATGGTTGTAGTGGGGAGCTGGTCATGTACACAAGAAGGCTCAGTACTTTTTCTTCCTTTTGTTCTCCTTCCTATATAGTCCCCTCCATCTCCTGGTAGCCTTCCTGCTTGCAAAAATTTATCTCCCAGCATTGTATTTTCTGCATTTTATTTTTTCTTTACTTCTCTTTTAGATCTCTGATAGAAGAGAACAATGTGATACTTAAGCTCGTGTGTCTGATTCATTTCACTTAACACTAACGTCCCCAAATGAATCATTTTCTTACGCACGACTCAAGTTTTTCCTTTTCTATGACAGAATACTACTTCACTGTGTACACATCCCACGTTAGATCCATCCATTCTTATGTTGATAGGCACCTGGACTGCTGGGTATTCACATGTAGAAGATTGGACCTAGACCGTTATATCTCACAGTGTGTGGGGAGCACTAATGCTGGAAATGCTTCAGTCCTGAGAAAAGCATCCTGCCTGAGACAACTGTTAATTTGATAGGCAACCCTGCATCTCCTGACACTAACTATGTCAAAAGTATAAGTAACTATCATTATAGGCATAGTTCAGTTCCTCTTTCATGTCAGTAAAGAAGTCCATCCACCTGACCTTAGTTTTTGTCTTTCTTTTCCTCCTCTCATTAGAATTAGCCTAGGAATATTGAAAACCAACACTGTGCTAAACATAAATCAAAATAGACTAAAGATCTAAATGTTAAGACAGAAACAATCTGTTGAATGAGGAAACAGGTGAAACTCTTAGAGACATAGGCATAGGCAATGAATTTTTGAACAGAACATCAATTGCATATGTACAAAATGTAAGATTCAACAAATAGGATAATAGAAACAAGATTCTGTACACCAAAGAGTGAGGAATGGATGAAAAAGATGTGGTATTTTTCTACAATGGACTATTATTTAGCTATAAAGAATGATAAACTTGAAGCATTTATATTTAAGAGGATGCCACTTGAACATATACTCATACGTGAAATAAACCAGACACACATGTGTAAATATCATATTGTTTCCCTAGTATAAGAACTCAAAAGAAGAAATGCAAAGAGAAGGATAGAATACGATTAAAAGGAAAACAAGAACTTGAGAACTAGACAATGAAGAGAGAGCAAGGAGAAGAGCTAGGAAACACGACAGAGGCAAGCCATACATTTATGTGTACAAGATGGGCAAGGCAATGATCCTGAGAATCTTCAGAAGATTTTCAAATCTAGCAGTTAATTGGAAGAATTCTCACCCTGACTAACTATATATACTGACACTTGTGAACTAAGTAACTACACTGGAGATGGCAATTTGTAATAGTAGGTTCATGCTTGGACTGCCTGTCATTCTGGTCTTCTGAATACGTGCTGCTTGTCATGACATGCCAGTTGCTGCTATGAAGTCTCTTGGGTAGATGACTGTTTAAAAAGGAAGGGGGTGGTGATTGAAGGCAGAAAAGCAGTGTTGCGGTACTGTCCTGCAACAATGTTGTATATGGTTAGATTTCTGAACTTACATGTAAACATATATAATTGTTTATTCCTATTTTTAAAAAATATTTTAAATTTTTTTATCATATTCTGTAGGGACTTAAAGTTTAACATATCAATACTTTATGGAAAAAACCTGTTCCATGTGATGCCTAAGATGTTTGCTATTCAGACAAATAATGAGGTTAAGCTCAACAGCCTAGGTTATATGGTAATAACAATAAGCTTTTCTTCTGGATGGTTAACAACCTAAGTTTGCAGACAAAAATTAGAGAAAAAGGAGGGCTACAAGGAAAGCCAATATTTTGGCCCTAGCCTTCTAAGGTCAATTAAGTCTCAGGACATATGAGAACTTGTACTGTAACGTCATGTACCTTGGTTGTGTCCCAAATTTTCTGATCAAGGAGATTATGGGGCCAAAGGGGAAAGTGATTGATGACGTAGAGTGTGCCTAAGGAGAGTCATATGGAGAGAAAACATTCTCTCAGGCTTTCACAGAGAGCACATTGGCCAAGCAATGGCCGTGACTCATCCACATGGCTGACACTGACAAACAATCTGAGGTACAGGATCTCAACATAAATCCTGAGGGGATTTCACTGGCTTTATCAGACCCAAAAGCTACAACTCTTGTTGCATAGGTCTTGTTTTATCTTGGTCTTAACCATCCAGCAGAAAAGTATAAAAATGAAGTACAAGAAATAAAGCCATGTTATTATGTTGAGCTGTAGGGGATTCAGGTCAACAACTTCTGAAATTACCAGTCAAGTGGAAGACCCAATATATTATGGACTACTGGACTATTTTGGAATATTTTGCAGAGTTCACACACTTATAATATTTAATTGATGGAACTAAACCAAAAAAAGGGATATAATGAATGATCATTTTGTATCTATGTATTCAAAATGGTTAGGATAGATATACAGCTACATTCTCTTAATTCAAGGAAGAGAGGGATTTGTTCTAATAGTGTTTGTAAATAGGATATCATGTGTGCATCTTGTACAACAAAGAGTCACTAGGAAGGCAGTATGCAATGTATTAATTATTGGAACTGTCCTACCAATTTGATTTGAAACTGTCTCATTGCTATTTATTTCTCAATAAAATTATGGGGAAAAAAAGAAAAATATAGGCTATACTCTGGAGCCCAGAGAAGTGCACTCTGCTCACTAGGTAATGAGTAGTAATGGTGTCATCGGTATATAGGAAATGATCTCTGAGAACTTCCCAGCTTTCTACTCTGGCCTACATCAGTACATGTGATTCAGGAATATCCAGAAACAATAACATTCTAATGAACACAATGGTACAGGATATGACTGTGCTGACCAATGCTGTAAAGCTAGAGTGATACATGCAGGTGATGGCCAGAGCAGATCTTTGGGCTGATATAAGCTGTGTCAATTTCTCTTTCATTGTCCTGATCCTCTGTTTACAAGACACCTCCTGAACCTGCACCAAGATAGCTACTACATTGAAAAGTAGCTTCTAATTCTCCACATATTTAAGAGGATGGACTTTTTTTTATTATATCCTGCCAGGTCTAGGTCCACAGCAAATATCTACATAATGGAACATTTTCCATAAGCTTTTCTCATAATAGAATGACGGGTTATGTGTGGTTATCACAGGTTATCCAATGGGGATTTAACTTTGCTGGAAAATCATTCACAGGGTACTTATATAATAGCAACTAACATTAGGCTCTCAGGCATCTTTGAACTCCATGAGCATTGATGAGGTTCAAAAAAACCTGCATATTGCCCTGGAGACAAAAGACTGTGATCTTCACCCATGTCATCCACATTTAGATAGGACACACCTGAACTCCGCCCACCTTAAACCACTTTCATGTATCTTGGTCTCAGATTGTGGAAAATAATAAAAGGAATATTTTCACACAAGGAGAGTACTCTCCCAGACTTTGATATTTGAAGATCTACTGAGAGCATTCACTGTTCTCCACAGACACATGTATCTGAATACTATGGCCAAAGTGAAATAAAGTAAGAGCTAGGAGCAAAAAGACAGACTAAGGACACTGCATGGCCCAGACACAAAGGAAACAGCAGCTGAACAGAGGATGTGGGTAGAGGTCATGCAAGAGAAAAACTGGGTTGTGGACAGGGAAAGGACATGATTAGTGTCAACATACCTACCAGGCGACATTATACTGCACGTGCATGGGGTGACCATGGTCATAGTCACCTATGAGATGTCATGGATCTGAGATTTCTTAAAGTGTTTTTCTTCCACTAGGAACCAAACATTTTAGGAATAGAAACATTTTTGTTTGCTATAGTTTCGTTGTTGTCAGTTTTGTGTTGTTCACTGCTCTCTCTATATATTCAAACCCCTACATCCAGAATGAGAGAAGGGACAAATTGTACATAGACTTGTAGAATAAATATGTGAGTTACATGCATAGGAATCCTAGGAAGAGCAGAGATCTAAATCAAAGATCATCCCTGTTGCTCCATTTTGAGCTGAAGGTTCTCAGTTGATTGAAGAGGAGATGCTAAGAAACAGGACCACAGTTATTAAGGACTGAGAGGCACATGGGCTTGATCCCTGGGTATGGTAACCTATAGATTGGAGGGGATCACATGAGTTCATGAGCAAAAGTTGGAGGAAGATGGAGTGGGCTTTCTGCCACTGTCCTGACCCTCAGCTTGAAAAAGGTCTACCAACCAGGCCGAGAGAACTATCAACTTCTAAGGTTTTGGTTTTTGATTTTTTGAGCTAACAATATCTTTAAAAAAAGTGATGTCATTTTTATGGCCTGCCAGTCCTC